TCTTGCTACACTGTCACATCAAATTGGCGCTGGATGTTATTGCTACAAGTCAACAAGCACTGTTTTACATGTTTTGTGAGAGCACGGATTACGATTAGTTGCAGCGAGATATAGTTAGCTATAATGTCATAATACATTGTTAGTATCTACTGTATGTGAAACCTTTGCATAGGGGTTTAAGATCCCCGGTTAAACAATACACTTAAATGAGGTACCCAGATGGCACTACACAAGTAAGCAGCATGGAATAAATAATATGTCCAGTTAACTAGTTTCATTTTAATAAGTCGGGAACGGAAGTTCACCAGTTGCTTAAGAGCGGGAGTAATGTGTATGCTAAGCGGACTTTTCATAGATCCAAACTTTGCATAAACCTTGATTTAGTAAATTGGGGGCACATATAAGTTAATTTCATGGTACGTGGAAGTAAGTCCCCAAAATGTGAAAGCAAGTTTTGATAAAAAGCGCTTAACCCACCTGTTCCTGCAGTTCCCATGTAACGTGTTATTTAACCGGACAGTCCATTAGCATCCTAAGGTACACCAGATTACTTCCTGCAGTAGACTTATGACTCAGTTTCAGCGCGACATCAATTTGAGCCAGCAAGTTAAAAACAAACGTCATGAGCTGTTTTGTTTTCGCGGTTGGAAGTCTTTATTTTCCAGTCGAGATGAAGCTATTTAAAACAATCATGCCTAAGGCTGAAAGGATATAAGAACATTGCACTTGTTGGAGGGTCAAGTTTGGATTACACGTTGTGTGATTGGATTGCGACACGCAACCTCAATTTCATAGACTGTGATTCACATTGAAATGAACCGTAGTCACTGCGATCGCTGGGACCGTATTCAAAGTAGATGGAAATTGGGTATTGCCCACCCGAAAACACTGCACAACCACAACGCGTTTCGATGTAATTTTTCATCTCATCAGGTGGAGACAGCAGTATTTGAACCTAGGACCATTGGAATAGCAGCCAACACTACTACCCCTTTGGCTACCGGGTCACGATGGGCAATGCTTTTTGTCACAACGGTAGATGACTAATTGGAGGGTCAAGTTTGGATTACACGTTGTGTGATTGGATTGCGACACGCAACCTCAATTTCATAGACTGTGATTCACATTGAAATGAACCGTAGTCACTGCGATCGCTGGGACCGTATTCAAAGTAGATGGAAATTGGGTATTGCCCACCCGAAAACACTGCACAACCACGACGCGTTTCGATGTAATTTTTCATCTACTTTGAATACGGTCCCAGCGATCGCAGTGACTACGGTTCATTTCAATGTGAATCACAGTCTATGAAATTGAGGTTGCGTGTCGCAATCCAATCACACAACGTGTAATCCAAACTTGACCCTCCAATTAGTCATCTACCGTTGTGACAAAAAGCATTGCCCATCGTGACCCGGTAGCCAAAGGGGTAGTAGTGTTGGCTGCTATTCCAATGGTACTGGGTTCAAATCCTGCTGTCTCCACCTGATGAGATGAAAAATTACATCGAAACGCGTCGTGGTTGTGCAGTGTTTTCGGGTGGGCAATACCCAATTTCCATCAACATTGCACTTGCTTAACAATGCTAAAGAAAGACGGTAACATGTGCCGCGTTGGCAACTACCGTTAGACTATTCCCTCCATCTACCGGACACCCAGACAAGACATGCAATGGTGCACATGCCTTCTATTGGCGACATTAGGCGCCGTGGCTATTTGGCGTAGACAGCCATAGCTGTGCTATTAAAAAAGACTCATTCAGGCTGTGCAGCTATCCTAGCAAAACTCGGTTTTACCAACGAGGAGGATTACGCCAAGTTTCCTAAGTTATCTCTGCTTAGTCCAATCAGTTGGCTATCTTGATTTGACGTTATCATACCTTGTTTCATTTATATAAACGATGGTTACTTTTATCTCCCCACAGTATCCCACTAGCCTAAAAATAAAAAAACTGAAAACTGTTCACTACATCCTAAGTTTAATAATGTTTAGCTGTATCCAATAAGCAGGCTGTCATAAGAAGTGCCTTTTGTCGACGCGCCAACCTGTTCTAACAGCTGGCAAAGCCAACGTAGAATTTGCATACCAGCAGCTTCTGAAAAAGGGCAGCGCCAGCCTAAAAGTACGCCAAGATAGACCTATAAATGTCCTTAAACTTTGGCGCACAGAAATGTTACGGATGTGTGAACCAAAACGGTAACATCGCGGTAGGGGCATGTTAAAATAAGATTTTTGTTTAAGTTGTACAGAAAGTCACCCATTTGGGCAGCAAACCAGATATTGAAAACATCAAAGCTCTATCTGCTACTTCCTTATAATGCGATAATTATTAGAACACCAGCATATACATTTTTTCGCGACCTACCATGGTCATGTTTTGACATCAGGGGGTCTTTAGTTTAATTGGTCAATGTGCGCTTTAAGACCGTATACTCAGGAGAGCTGTGGTCGAGAAATAAGTAAACAGAATCAAGACGCTGTAAGCGAGTGTTTTGGGGGCGTCTGTGCTTATAGTATCGTGCAGCCCTTAAATAATTTCCGTGCTATTAGAAAATGTTTCTTGCCGACACCTTTCCTGTGCACTTTTGTTATCAAAAAGTCATTGAATTAGCGTGCAATAGAAACGAATTAGGTGGGGAGCTACTTTCAGGCGATCGACTTTTTGACGAAGTAACCTAACGACATTCGTCTAAATTGTAGGAAATTTTAAACTATTAGGTAGCACTTCCCAAATTTGCACTAGATATCAAAAATTTTAGACTAAACTTTACACCCTCGAAGGGAAAAATTACCACCTCTGCACTGGAACCTGGTGGGGATCAGCTAGACCTTGTTCAAAATTTTAAGCAACTTGGCAGCCATATTATTGCTGGAGAAATAGGAAGTGGGACGTGGAAGCGTGTAACAAAAGCCCGAGTTGCCTTAGCTAACGTTAGCCACCTAAAGACTAGACGCGACATGACGCTTGACCTGAACGACAGCGTTCAGAAGGCAGCCGTGCTTCCAACCTTGAACTATCAGGTGGACAGACCTAAGGAAGATAGTTACGTTTAACTATCGCTGCCTTTGTCGCTTATCTCATGTTTGCTGGAACGCTGCGTTAACAATGAGCATGATGGAGGTTACGTATTCAGTGCTAGAAGATCTTGTAAACGGTTAAGCACCGATGGTTGGCGCACCGGTTGCGCACGCCAGCAAATCAACTCCTGCGAAGTGCGTTGTATGCGCACCGGTGTGTGAGTTAAGAAGAGAATGGGGAGCCAAACGAGGACTTGGTCAAGAAGCTAAAAGTCTAGTTCAAAGTTGGCGTTGGTAGGTGGACAGCGGCGGACCACGATGAGTTACAAGCTAAGAGATATCTAACGCACTACTAAGAGGCAGAACATGTCGTGATTGCTGTCCATTGCTTTTTATCATTTCTAGAGTCCACGACAAAAGCACTTTAACTAAATATCGCTTGCAAATGAGCAAGTAGTGATAAATCCACACTTCTTGGATAATATATTTCCCTGCAATATCCACAACTAAAATGAGATGGTGCAAAAGCGTGTATGTGAAAATAAATGTGGTGTCCGATTCTAGCTTAAAATACTCTAACCAGCACCACCTGCTGCACCGTAAATGAGAGCTAACGTACCTAAAATGTACTACTTACAATTCCCCTATTTTTGGCACTTACAAAATGACATCAAACTAAAATTTATTATTAGGTCTCATTAAGTTGCTTGGTCCCATACGTCATCGTCACAGAAATAACAGGTAGCATGCAAACATACACTAAAGAAAAATGCTGGCGCTAACTATAAAAAAGCAATGCTTGGGGGCAGGAGGTTTCTTAACCAGAAAATCCAGAACCTTCGCATTACTTTAGGTGTTAGCGGCTAGAACCGGTGCTAGTTTAGCAAAATTACTCTAAACAAATTTAGGTGAAGTAAGATTTCAGCTTCCCACACAACCTGTGATATTGTGCTCTGATAATTATAGACCTAATTAAACTCATAAGCATTAATCGTGCAGCAAACCAAGGCACGCAAAATTACCTGGTAAAATGTTTAAAACTGAAAGGTACAATGTGTTGAAAATTCTCAGGCTGGATACCGAAAACTTTCGTAGTTAAGAAGTTTTTAGATGCGCATGACTATCTCAAAACGTTAACACGGATCTTGAACTACACTTTTACTTTGGATACGTACTTGACTTCTGACAGTGTATTTTGTATCGAATGTTTAAAAAATAAAAATGTACATTTGTATATTTACCGGTACGCGGTATCCAGCAATCCATATTACCCAAAGCCGTAGCATGCTTATCCAACTGCAAATAAAAATATCCGTTGATACGTTTGTTTGACGATGAGTAAAACTGACCAAAATATTCCATTCCAGCATGCTATATTTCGTTTAGTGCATCCTTACTGCAGTATCACTTATCAGCTTAGTTGTGGCTTATGCAATTTTAAAATATACCATTGGTTTTTGGCACACTATGTACTATTTCCATTAACATAACCCTTTTACACGAAGCTAAAACCGCAACACGTATTTATCAGGTTTACTCATAAGTGCAAACGCTTGCAGGTCTTTATTGTCGTTTAAATTTTAGTTGCTTATTTTTACTGCGCACGTACATAACGCTGAAAATTTGCAAAGACTTTGCTGATAGTAAGTGCTATTTTATTCTATGCTTCACGGCCGCCGGCATTTAAACTACATGTAATCGAATGCAATAGACATTTTTAATTTAGGTTCAGGTATTTAAAATCTATACTTAATCGCAAGCAGATGCACGAAGATAAAAATGCAAAAGTCATTATCTAAAATTATAGTATGGAGGCACACAACGTAACTCTGAAAGGCACCACCTGTTCTGTTTATTAGTTCAAAGACTTTTCCTTCGTTGAGTAAATTGGATTTGCCCTCATATAATGATGTCTGTGGAAAGGGTAGTCGCCGCCGGCATTTCCAAACCGTTCCCTGACTTTCTGTTCTCTCTCTGATTAGATTGCTTTCCTACAAGAGAACTGTATGTCTGTCAAATCACCTTCCAGCGGGGGTATTATCATCGGAATACGTGGTGGAGCCATATATTTGAATTGCAAAAAGGACAACTTGACTGCTGTCCATGTTCTGGAAAACGGAACAGCAGTACCAATGAGTGTGCAGGAGACTGGTGAGTATCAACGAACGTTGTCAAGACCGACATCCTGGAAAGTTCTGCGTCCCTCAGTTTTCGTCGCCCCGATCAAGCAAATTCCTTACCAGTACGAGATACGCGTACAATTCGCTCAAGATTTCAAGGTTATGGTATGGTTTCAGTCAGTGAATCAGCAAACCAGTGATGCGAAATGCAGTGATATGCAAGTATTAGTTTTTGCTTCGGCTGCCATACCATATCTTGCGCTGGTACGTTTTTAATGGATCCGAAGTCTACAAATAGAATAAATTCACTTTTTTTTCACAAGTTAAGGAAAGTAGTACCTGTTAAACTTACACAGAAGATATTAGCCAACTGGTGTTATATTTGTCATTGTATCGGATAGTATACTAGTTTTTAAAGCCATCGCTTTTGTATCCAGCGAATATTCCTACGCTAGAGCCAATTGACCCGTAGAAGATGTTGGAACATCTTGGCTGTCTAGTGTAACAGCACTCATTGTAACAAATTCACAATACTGCGCGCTGTTTTGGGACTTCAGTTAAGTAACTCATCCATCGGATATTCCGAGCATATGAAAGTGGTACCTAGTGGTCCGACCACGGAGTGTGTGAGTTAGATTTCATACCATATTTAGAATCAGGTAAACACCGTTGTATTATCGCCAGTTTTAATAGCTTAATAGTTCAATAGTGTGTGGTGAAATAAAAGCATAACTTTGCAAAACCCACAGGATGGATACGCAAAAGGAACTTAAAATCAACAACTGCCAAGTGCAAAAGTATCAGTGATTAAATCATTGTACTTTAGCAAAATGTTTTGTAGCGTTTATCATTAAGGTGAAAATCTAAGATTCTTTTGAATGTCGTCATGTCTGGTGCGTTCACCACATACCTTGGTGATGCATTTCAGTGAGAACAGATTCTAAGTGAGTAACAATAGTTTCTACAATTTAGGCGGGAGTGTTGCGTCATTGGTTTCAGGCGGTTGCTTCGGCTTTGTTTGCAAGGCACTAGAGTCAACAGTCATCTACATGGATGCTCGCGTTAATTTGGTATCCGGTAAGTCTAAGTATGATCTCCGCGAAGCCGTCGGTATTCTGATGAGAACACACCGAATACATGAAGACGCAGTCCACAACTTAGACCGGATAGTCTACGTGTTGCCTTTGTGGCACTTTTTCGAGTTGTTCCAATAGACTAATGTTTCCTTTTAACCATAAACACCGGGCCTGAATTGCAAATTAAATGGGAGGACGAAAAGATATGAATCAATCATCATTGGTACTAGCCGTTGCTCAAGGATGCCGAAACAACGCCTCAAAGATCTCACGTTCAAGTTCGCCACATTTGCAGCCTTCGAGCATTGGGGCAAATTGCCAAGACCCCATTGCATGCTTACACATAAGTCACGTTCATTAGTCGCTTGTTGCAGGACGTGTCGCACCAAATGTTTTGTGCTGACGAAGCTGCTGCGCATCGTCAGCAGGTGGCACTTTGCATGGTTCAGTAGGAGCTGATTCCTTTCTGCCAAGTCGTTAATCCGGGTCAGAGATTCCTGGAGGTAGACGCGATAGAATGCTGAGCAAATTGCTCTTCATATTTTAGCATTGTCTGCACATATTTGCATTGGAGATAGAATGTTTGTTGATAGGTCAATTATGTAGACACAAAACAGTAGCGGGCCGAGGACGGAGCCTTGCAGTACACCAATGGAGACGCACAGGCTTCCAGAGTAAGTGTCAACTACGCTTAGTTTGATTCCTCTGTCGTGTAAGTAGTTTCCTAATCAAGTGAGCAGAGAACCGTTGATACCGTAGGCAGCAAGCCTTTGGAGGGGAAAAAAGTGATGGACACTCTCGAATGCTTTAGAAAAATCCAAGTAAATCACATTTATGGGGAGCCCTTCATAGGCCGCACTGGGGAAACTTACCAAATAAAATAAGTTGTCAACACATATAAGGTAAGAAGATGCATATAGCCAGGAAAATATAAAACATTATTTCTGACTGCCAAAATAACCGGTTCTTGACAGGTCCGTAGGATGACCCAAGTGTGGATTACGAAATCCATGCTAAAATAGAAAACATGGAAAAACGAATGAAAATTAGGGTTTTAAGGTACTGACCAAGCTATTCAGATGAACACTAGTTTCCTTATTGCTATGTTACGAAAAGTGCTAATGGGCACGTACTTTGGTATGAGTGGTTTGTCCTCTCTGTGAAGCGAGCTGTATCATGTACTGCAAGTGGATAGGTATCATCATGGAGTTTTTTGATTGGCTTGAATTTTAAGGCCAAATTGACGTGAATTTGAAGAGTGTCCCTGGTTAAATTTGCTCGAAGAGACAAAACGTGTTGTGGACAATCAGATCGATTGTATTGCGTTGTCAGTTTGGGCTGGTGACACCTTGGGTTGATAATGTGGAGGACTTACAACAGATGTCGACAGGCATGATTTGTGTTTGTTAGTGTTTGGTACGCTATGATGGGTCCCCTCGCTGTGACACTCTGTGTTGGTGGAGAACGTAGAGAAAATCCTTAACATATTTGGTCGCACCGCCTTGTAGAGCTTTAAGCTCATCAGCATGTTGTTCGCGTCACACATATCAGGCCTGGATTGCTTGCCTCACGTAGGGCCCACGCTGGCATTCAGCATTTCCGGAAAGATTGTTTACTCGAACTTACCGAACCTTACGCGTAAGAGGTAACGATACTGACTTGCACTTCTCCATGCTTTTTCAGCTCCTTTCGAGCAACCCTGATGGTGTTGCAATTACTGGCCCCAAGACGATATTCATAAGTACGTTAACGGCGTATGCTCCAGACTTTGCATCTTGTCACCTTGAACTGGTGCAGGTTTATAGATGACCACGTTAAGTCGTATCGAGCACAATCTGCAATGCCTTGTGGTCCCTCACAGTATTGATGTCATGACAGACATTGACGTCTTCTGCGGTGAGTAGCAAGTCTGAATGCAGTGCACCAGCAAGATCTTTGATGGATACAATGAATAAGCATGGTCTAAGAAGTGATCCTTGGGGCACTACATTAGACTTTAATTGCGTTGGAGGTAAAGATGACGACTCTCAAATTCAGCTGACGATGAATGCAAAAGTTGCTTTTCAAACAAGGATATGGTCACTGGTTTCATAGCTTTGGAAATTGTACAGGAGAATGCGGTGATCCAAGCGAAGAAACGCTTTATAGAAGTCCAGAAAGACCACATCGATACCCATTCAGATATTGACTGCTTCCATTCAAATTGCTCCGGCTAGCAACAAGTTCTTGGTGCGGAACCGATTGCGGCAAAAACAGCGTTACCGTGGCACTATGGTGTCGTGGCTGTCAAGGTCTCCCATGGGGGCATCAGTAATAAAACTTTCCAGTAGTTTGCACAGCACCGGGAGGAGTGTGAATAAACAGTAGTTCGGAAGGTCTGCGCGATTTCCACTTTTATAAGTAATAGTGATTATTCCATGTCACCAGCTGGTTCTAACGTGCATGTTCTCATGGCCTCGTTCGAAGAACCGGGCTAGTGGTTTCACAATATTTATGACGGCTGTCTTTAAGACATTTTGTCTTAGGTCGTCTACGTTAGGACAGCTGTGAACACGCAAGGACACTTATCTTGACATGACCTTTGTTGTAGTGAATGATGCGTTACTTATGGCTTGGGGCGGTATGAACTGTGTCAAAAGCGGGTGAGATGATGATGCACACTGGAAACTGCAGTATGGTGTTGCCGAAGCGCGTTGGACGCCTCTTGTGTAGGTATCGCCGGATAAACTACTGAACGTAGAACTGGGATTCGGATTTGCGTTTAGAGCATCTTAGGTTTAGTACTAAATTTCTTCGCTAAGTCCTGTGAATGTTTGAGCTTGTAGTTACGGATCAACTTGACGCAATACTTCGTTGAGTTATGTAGTTACCCCAAGCCGTCACACTTGAACAGACTTTGTAAGCGCGTCAGCCTGAAGCACTGTAGGCCACACATTTTCGAGTCCGGCTTCTCAGGGGGGCTTCGTTGGTTTCTGGTGAAAGACACTGGATTCCAACATATGTGCTACTAGCCTGGTGAACTGGTTGAAAAATTTTATCAGGCGACATTGGAATATTGCGCAACTGGGAAAGATAAGCTGGCTTCTTTACCAGGCTAGATAGGAGGTCGTAACTGGTGACAGCATAGGTTTCCTTGTGGTTTTCACAGGTGCATTCCGCGTGGCAGATGTAGCGGTAGAAGAGCGTCGCATGAGTGCTAGTATCAAGTATTGCGTCTATTATTACTGTGTCGACCATGAGTCCCTCACTAGTGTACGCAAGGTCTAAAACAGCTGGTATATGACCAGACTGTAACCACATGGTAGTGGTGACAGTTTTGCTTAGCGGCATATCGTTGATTGCTTCTTAAAAGTCTACTTCGAATTATTCGCTGGGGAAGCGTGGACTTTAACTGCTAGCAGAGTGTGGCAAGAATCACTTCATGACGGAGGCTAGGTGGTGGTCCATTTCCAGAGTGAACATTTTTGTGTGGCCAACTATCGCTAGTAAACACACATCAACACATCTCAGGTGTAGACTGCACCAAGATTCTACAGCTTGATTTCTTCGTCGTCGATGCCTTCAATATGCATGACAGGTCGGTAATACATATTAACGCTATCTTTTCACTTAGTCGATCCCTTCGTATGGGAGTTATGCAAGGCAGAGCCATCTTAGCATCGGTGCTCGCCGTGTTCAGCCATCTTTCGGTTACTATGAAAATGTCCCAAGGAGTGGAAAAGTGACGCGTACGATACTCGGTTAAGCTACTGTGAAGACTTTGTGCGTTGGTATACAAACAACTGAGGGCCAGAGATGTTAGAAGTGTATGCGCGGAGGCGGATTTTAGGTGGGGTTCATACTGCTCTTTGTTGAAAAGGTCCAGTAGTTTTTACATTGAAATGCCAACATCAGCCCCAAAGCCATTTTGTTCTGATATGTAGAGTGCTGAGGGTCAATAACTGACTGGTTGGATCCAGTAAAATTTTAGGATTTACGTGTCATTCAGGTGCCGTTAAATATATATACGTACCAGACTAGACAATTAAGATCATGTTACTTTCCGATTATTAGTGCTTTAGGTTTACAGTTACCTGGTGGTTCCAATTGTTGATTTTTAAAATCATCCAGAACTAATGAATAGGTAATCTAATGCTAATGTTATTGATAATAACAGAGGAGTGCTAGGGAAGTTGAATGGTATAGGTAGAAATTTGTCACATCTAAACTCACTCAGACAGCCGTCATACGCCCAGAAAAGCACTGTACGCGCGTTTTATCCTTTTGGGAATCGTCAGCAGTGCGCAACCAGTTGGACCCTGGAAGGGCTCAAACGCGCAGCTGTACTGTTGCCAGTCCGTGCTTGAGACCACAGAGCTACGGGGGAAGGTAACGACCCAGTCCTCTGCACGGCAGTAACGTATAAGTCAGTGGATAGTGAGCGGCGCTATACCACATCTAGCAACTAATTCACGATGATCGTTACCACCCCTCGCAGCTCAGTGGTCTCAATCACGGACAGGCAACAGCTGAGTTGCTAGTTCACATCCTTCCAGAGTCCGATGGAATGCGCGCTGCTTACGATTCCCAAAAAGGTGAAACGCGAGTACAGTGCTTTCCGGACGCGTGCCCCCTGTCTGAATGAGTTTAAGTGTGGTGAATTTCTACCTGTTACTGATAAGTCGACCAACTAGCCAATTTGGTACTAGACATAGAACACAACCCATTTTCTTAACCGTTTTCAGTCCATCCGACGACACATACTTTTATCGTGTCCGATAAATGGTTAAGTTTGGATGATATAAAAATCGTAAAAGCTTTGAACATACAATAAAATAAGTCAGAAATATAAAAACTAAAGTACATTAAACTGTTGTTGAGATTTTTGTTAGCACACGTCATTAGCTGTTTAAAAAGAGGCTTTTAGTACTGAGATCAGCAAGTGACAAATATTTAAAGACTTCGTTCGCACAAGCATACTCCACCAGGTCTTTCAACTGTGTGCAGCTATTGGGAGGAAAATACCCTGTCTCATTCTACAGTGAGTAATACTCAGCCGTTGGTGGGGATGGATCAATACATAACATTCGATAACCTTCACTAGTTTGCACAAAACGTTTGAGGATCACAATGGAACATCGCGAGAGCAACGGACCTGCAACCACAATTAGTAGTGTTAACCAAGAACTTTATTATTGTAATCATTGCGACAGGCTTGATTTTGTACAGTTACGAGGGAGCAGTAACTACTTTTTAACCTAGAAGCTGAAGATAAATGAAATCGGCTGATTCAAGATTGCATACTTTAGATTTCTCTTTTTGATTCGCAATGTAACGCAGTCAGAGTTATTCGTGGCTCTGCCTGATATTGCTTCGGAGACTTACTTAGGCTCACCCCACTTCGAGCCAACTATATTCTATATTAAGTCGCTTGCGTCTCCTAGCTTTGCGCTAATGGAACGGTTGCAGATAGACGCAGTCTTAGTTAGTTTTATTAACCGATGATTGTTGGGTTAGAGACTAAGGAACGAACCCACCGCCTTTGCTTCAATAAATGAGCAAACGCAGAATCGTACATTGAATAGCTTAGTAGTGGAAGATGTAATAAAGTACAGTGGCTTTACAATACCTACAGCCTTGCTACTGCAAAACAGCTAAATGCTAATCTTCCGGCGTAGAACGTGCAATATCAGTAGACTGCAGATTGCAGTTTATAACCCTTTAGTCGCCTACTTTGCAGTTGAAACCAAAATGCTCCTTCATTTCAGGTAGAAGGTGGAAGTACAAAAAGAATTTGCGGCAGAACTGTTCCAAATGAATCAATATTTTCCGATAGTTCGCAAGTGACCATCATTCTCCGGTAAGCATTTAGCATGAGCACCTCAGTTCCATTGTTCGATTTAGACCTTAATAGACAAAAACAACAGCAAGGGAATATGCTCTTGATTTTCCATTAGAAAATGTTGATCAAACGAAATTGGATATGTACAGTTATGTTTAACAAATTGTCTAATTAACATGTAGTGTATATTGAAGGGCTGAGAAACTATTTGTTGTAACAGTTGTTGGAGACATTATGTGAAGCGTCCAATTTTAATTAGATAATCGCATCTGGTATTTTCGAGCTCTATTTCCTACTGTAAATCATAGGAAATACATGAGGATTACGTCGGTCTTATTTTGATAAAGTGAGAGCTTTGGGTATTTTCATTCTGCAGCGAAAGCAAGCCCACTATTACCGAGGCAGATTCTCTATGACATACATACCAGAAATCGATGTAATCAACATACATCAGGAATGTATTTTGCAAACGTTTGTTAAGGTACATCTCGGGGGGAAAGCATATGGTGCGCTGAGGCTAGTGGTGGCTAGAACCTGACAGATGGTCTACCCGCTGCTGCTACTGTCGCGCCATAGTTTCATGTCCTGGGCACCTCCTCGTGGCGAACTCTGGGTGGGATTTGGGTTTCGCCCTTCTCCCTGCTAAGATGCAGGACACCAATCCGTATGAGTCGGCTAACTGACCATGTGCTAGGTCTGCTGACTTTCGGGTGTTCATTTAATAGAAGGCTTTGGCTGAGGACCCGAGTCGTTCTCCTGTCAGGATTGGGCGCCCTGGCAGTATCCTAGTCCATCCTCTCCGGAGGTTAGGAAGTGGTCGATGGCCAACTTCCCGTAAAACCTAGCCATGTGAGACAACAGGTTTACGGGTTATAAGCTCACAGCTCGATTGGCGTAGAGCACGAGTGTCACGCATTGTCTCTGACGGTGGGAGGGCACCTCCGGGTGTTCAATTGTTTGCTACTGCCCGCCTCAAGCTAGGCAGTCCCTGGTGTAATTGGTGCAAACACGCTAAAACCCACCTGCGTCTGGCCGTGGTCGCAGGTGCCTATCCTACTACGGTCGCAAAACATATAATAATTGTTCCATAACCTCAAAGGTTGCGTGTGACGGCCGTCAAGCAGATCCTCATCTGTCTCTGCAATCACATTCCCGTGCTGGATCTGCTCCCCACTGCCTTGTGGGTCAGGTTATTGAGCCAAAGGCTCCGGGCGGAGTCCCTCAAGCAAACCTCCGTAGCACAACAACCACCTCGCTTGCGATTGCCCAAAAATGCAATCGTATGCCTGCGCGTAAAGCACTCAGCATCGGATGCTGGAACGTGCGCACACTACTGGACCGGAGCTCCAGCAAGCACCTGGAGCGACGCACTGCACTGGTCGCGATGGAGCTGGCGCGCTACCACATGCATAGTGCGGCACTCAGTGAAACCCGGCTCGCTGAGCAAGGTAAGTTGCAAGAAGCAGGTGCTGGCTACACGTTCTACTGGGTGGGAAACGCCGCCTCAGCACCACGTGAACATGGGGTCGGATTTGCAATATCCGATCGCATCCATGGCCAGCTGGTGGGTGAACCAACGGGCATCAGCGCGCGGCTGATGACTGTTCGCCTACGACTCGGAAGAGGTAAGTTTGCTACTTTTATAAGCACGTCCGGTCCGACCATGAGTTATCCTGATGACACGCGTGATCAGTTCTACACTAAGCTATCCTCCGTGATACGGTCTGTGCAGAGGAGCGACCGACTAGTTCTGCTGGGTGCTTTCAACGCGCGCGTTGGGCGTGATGCATCGGTGTGGACAGATGTTATCGGTTCGCATGGCATTGGTTCAGCGAATGCCAACGGTGACAGGCTGCTCTCACTGTGTGCCATTCACGGCCTGACGATCACGAAAACTCGGTTTGCACTGAGTGCGAATGATATAACAACCTGGCCGCACCCATGGTGTGGTCACGCTCACCTGCTCGACTATGTCATCGTACGTCAGCGTGATATGGGTGAAGTGCGCATGACACGTGTACTGCGTGGAGCTGATTGTGGAACTGATCACAAGTAGGTGCGGACCAAACTGTATATATATTTTCGTAAATCAATGTATTGCACTCCTGCCGTGAGTCGGCGTAAATTTAACATTCTCTCCCGCGGTACTGTGGCGAAACGTACTGAGCTGGAGAAGTCGATGGCTGCACGCCTGTATGATGGTGTGGACTGCATAGCCACAGTGGGCGACCTGTGGCACCACATTCGCGACCAGGTGAGAGCTGCTGCCAAGGAGACTATCGGGCGCGCAAACTGTAAACGGTCTGATTGGTTTAATGAGAACCATGCGACGATTGACGCATTGGTGTCGGAGAAGAATGCGGCATTTGTTGCACATGTTGCAGATCCCAGTGACTTGGGGAAGAAGAGTCAGTTTCGCAAACATCGACGACGACTGACCCGAGCACTTCGTCGCATAATAATGCATGGTGGACGGAGAAGGCGAAGCGGATGGAATGCTACGCTGAACGCCGTCAACACAAGAAATTCTTTGACTCCTTGAAGGCGATGTATGGACCGAGACTGGAGCCTCTGAGGACACTGATCGATGGTAGTTCAGGCGCTACGTGAACACAGACTGCAGACATAATGCAGGTCTGGCGGAAACACTTTGACTGTCTCTTGAACAATCGTTCAGAGATCGACTGGCCTACGTTGAACGGCCTGAAGCAGCACGATATGAAGACGAATCTGGCGGATACGCCTACACTGGATGAGACGCAGAGAGCACTTTCTCAGCTGCGAAACGGCAAGTGTGCCGGTGCTGACGGGATCCCGCCTGAAGTATTGAAACACGGCGGACCCGCGTTGTTGACTGCGCTGCAACACTTGGTGCAACGCAGATGGATTGAGGAGGAGGTGTCTCCTGAGCTGAAGGATGCCCTTGTGTTACCACTGTACAAGAGCAAATGTAGAAAGCAGTGTTGCACGAATTATCGGGGCAGCAACTTGCTGAGTTGTGTGGGCAAGGTGCTTGCCCGAATCTTTCTCAACCGCCTCGTCAGTCAGGTTGTGGTACCTAACGTGGCGGAAGAGCAATGTGGATTCCGTTCGGGTCGGAGCACTATAGATATGGTGTTTGCGGCTCGTCAGTTGCAAGAGAAGTGCAGAGAACGACACCAGCCATTGTACTCACTTTTTGTTGATTTCACCAAGGCCTTTGATACGGTGAACCGCGAGGCATTATGGCTGGTGTTGGGTAAGTTTGGTTGCCCGCCTAAGTATGTAAGTTTAATTGAATGTCTGCACAGCGGTATGCGCACGAGGGTGCAGCTGTGTGGAGTGGCTTCGGATGACTTTGCAGTTGTCTCTGGTGTGAAGCAAGGCTGTGGCTTAGCTCCTGCCACGTTTGATATATATCTTCATGCAATGTTTTGTTGTGCTTTTGATGCCGCTTGTGCTTACGGTGTTCGTGTGGAGCACCGTATTGATGGTGGGTTGCTGAACATCCGTCGTTTCGGTGCGAGAACTCTAGTCTGTGAGACAACTATCCGTATGTTGGTGTTTGCTGACTACTGTGCGTTGTTTTCACACAGCGCGGATGAGTTGCAGCACATGACTGGTGCTCTGGCTTCGACAGCGGCCAAATTTGGGCTCACCATCAACACAAGCAAAACTGTCTGTCTGTATCAGCCTTCACCGGAGGTGCAATCTTCAATATTGCCGCGAAGCAGCATTGGTGCTGAAGTATTGGAAACCACTTCCCGTTTCAGCTACCTTGGGAGTGTGATGTCGACTGATCAGCAGCTATACGTTGAGTTGCGTATTCGCGTGTCGAAGGCAGCAGCGGCATTCGGGAGCTTGAGTACCGAGTGTGGAACAACCGTCAGCTTACCATCGGCACAAAGCTGATGGTGTACAAATCCATGGTACTGTCCGTTCTTCTATACGGCAGTGAAACGTGGACGATGTACCGTCGGGATGTGCGATATCTCGAGGGGTTCCATCAGCAGTGTGTGCGACGAATTTTGCGGATCGGTTGGGGCGCCAGAGTTGCAGATACGGAAGTGTTGCGCAGAAGTCGGATGTATGCGGTGGATTGCATACTTTTACTGAGACACCTGAGATGGCTCGATCATGTGTGGCGTATGGATTCGACTCGGATACTGAAACAACTCTTATACGGTCAGCTGAGTATTGGGAAGCAGCACGTGGGGAAACCAAAGTTACGTTACCAGGACATGATTAAAGTGAGCCTCTCACGTTCTAATCTTGATTGTAGGTTATGGGAATCAAAAGCGGTTGATCGGCGCGTATGGCGCCATCTCATCACGAAGTCAGTTGCTGAAGTGCGGGAGAAAGACCTCATGCATGCAGAGAAGAAGCGGCAAGTGCGGAAGCGGCAAGCAGCGATGGATTGTACTCCATCGACATCGAGTGCATGGTGCTATAGCACATGCGGTCGCGAGTGTCTGAGTCAGGCAGGCCTAGTGAGCCATGAGCGAGGCCACTCGGGGCTACTACCGAAGCGCCGACGGGTTCTGCAGAGAACGTGGGCGGAACCGGCGCAGCGTTTGTAGGTACGCTGCATTCGATTTGCTAACCGCGTGCTTGCATGCTAAGTTTCTTAATTGCAGGTGGTGGGTTTTTTATTTTGCCGTAATGCTTTCTTTTCCCATATAAATGCCTAGTTATACTCTCTTCTATATACTTGCACACGTCGCTTAAGCCACTTGTAGTTATTTCGATAATATTTTCGTGTTTGTAGCACTTCCGTAAAATAAACCTCCTGACCTCGTGAACTTACCTCGTATTCTTTTGTAAACGTATTCTTTTATAAACAACTTATTTCATATGCTTGCTAATTTAAGATTTATATCACAGTTTGCTTGCGTGCTAAGTCTGTTTATTTCAGATGGTGGGTTTTCACTTTTGTCCCAATGCTTTGCTTTCTCATATAAATGTCTACCTGTACTCTCTTCTATAAACTTGCACACGTCGCTTAAACCAATTTTAGTCAAATTCGATAACGTGTTTGT